CGATATACCTCTAGTGCGGACTTATTAATCATGCCAATTCTCCACTTATTGGTCTCAGCTTCGTTCACCTTCTTCTTAACCAATAATTCTTTTTGGTTTGGCCCCCTGCTGTTGTCCAAGTATTTACCAGTCAGTTTTCTGGTTCGCTTTCTCCAATTTGTATCGACATTCTTCATGTACAAGTAGCTGAATACCTTCCCAGCCCAACGCTCCTCTCTCATTTCTCTCAATCGCTTCTCAAATTTTATCTTGCTGCTAGCTTCGCTGCCCTCAAATGATGTCCATCCTATATCATCTTGTACTCCTTTATTTGGTGTATTCCCGTGAGCTTTTAAGGCAAGCCTACCTATTCCACGTTGCTTCATTTCTAATCTTGCTTGAACTTCTGATCTCATGCACAAGACCGCATTGCCGAACGTCAGACCAGAAACAATGACCCCTTTCCTTATTCCTCAGACAACATCATACCTATTGTAATTCCACAGTGCTCTATTTTTCATCACTGCTGCATTCCTGTTACCTTTAGTCGTCACGTATATTTCGTGTACCCTCAGGTACTCGGTCCCATTGCTTATCCATACGCCCAGATATTTGCATTGATCTGTTATCGCTAGCGTGACCTCCTGTATATTAAGCTCACTACCTTCATTGTCATTAAAAATCATGACTGCTGATTTTTCCTTACTGAATCTGAAATCTAACCTATCTCCCTCATTACCGCAGATGTCCACCAATCTCTGCAAATCTTTCTTGTTGTTGGCCATTAGCACTATATCATCTGCGTACATCAATGCTGGTAGTGCCTGTTCAATGAGTTTTCCTTTTTTGACGAAAGAAAGGTTGAAGTCCAGTCCACTTCCCTGTAATTTGGCCTCTAATCCTTGTAGGTACATCATGAATAATAAGGGTGACAGAGGACACCCTTGCCTAAGCCGCTGTTTTACCTCTGCAGATTTGGATACCTGTTTTTTCCACTTTATAACTACCTCGTTAAATACCTTTGTAGATGTCTTTTAAAAGATTAGTGACTACATGTTCCACGCCTAGTGTGTCCAGTATTCCCCACAATTCCTCTTGAACCACGCTATCGTACGCTCCCTTGATATCCAAAAATGCTAGCCACAGGGGCCTGTGTTCCTTTTCTGCTATTCCGATGCACTGCGTAAGTGAGAACAGATTGTCTTCCAACCTCCTGTGTTTCCGAAACCCATTCTGCAGTTCCCCCAGCACCCCCTCATCCTCTATCCATGCCTGCAGTCCTTCCTTTATAATCTGCATCACCAGCCTGTAGACCACTGATGCCACTGTTATAGGACGGTAGTTGTTTATGTCAGTTTTGTCCCCCTTTCCTTTATAGATCATGCTCATCCTGCCAAGTTTCCATCCATCGGCAACGTCACCATCGATTATTAGTTTGCTGACTGCCTCCCTCAAAGCCTGCTTAGATTTCAGACCTAATGTCTTTATCGGCATAATTGGAATGCCATCTGGGCCTGTTGATGCACTACTAGGAACCCTTTTCTGAGCCCTTTCCCACTCTCGTTGTGAAAATGGAGCCATTGCGCCACTTGATTCATCCTTGTCTGTTGTAGTGCATAAAGCACTTCTTTGTTGAAATTTTTCTGTCACCCTTGTTCTTAATATTCAATAGCTTCGTCCCCTTCTAGCCTAGCACCTTGGGCTGTAGTTATAAACCTCTGCTCTAGGCTCGTCTCATTTCTTAGGGAGTTTAGATGGTTCCAAAATTTCGCAGCTGCCATTCTATCTTCTTTATGTACTTCTGCCAGCCACTGAGCTCCCTTTCTTCTAATAGTTTCATTGATCAGAAGGGATGCATCCCTTCTACAGCTTAGAAAGGTTTCCCAATTTCTTTCAACATCATCTGTCGGTTCACCCCGCTGCTTAGCATGTCTGTGTTCCCTAGAGGCTTCCTGACGTTTTGCTATGGCTCTCTTAACTTCCTCGTCCCACCAACTTTTGGGTTTGTGTCTTCTTTTCCGGGATGACTTGTCACGCGTCTTAGCAAGCTCTAGCTGAAAGTGTCTAATTAGATTCGTGTATGTCCACACTGTTTTATTATGCTCCGTTATTACCTTCTCAATTTGTTTAGTGGCTATTTCAATTTGCCTTTCTGGATAAAAATTTTCCTGTAGTTGCTCATCTTGTCTCCTTTCCACTTTCACTGCTCTTCCAAACTTAGCTTGATACGTTTGTGATCACTACCCAGACTTCTGGAGCCACCTTCATCTATGTGCATTCCCCTGAGCTTATCATACATCCTTTGTGACATCAGTGCATAATCTATCGTCGACTGTAGCCTTCCTACCTCCCATGTTATTTGCCCTTCACACTTCTCGGTACTGTTGCAAATGATCAAATCAAGCCTTTCACACATATCCATGATTATTTTGCCTGTCGGTTCGGTATACCCATCTATATCTTCTATGTGCGCATTCATATCTCCTAGTATAATTATCTCGCACTTTCTTCCTAACTCCTGAATGTCCTTTGACATACACTTTACCATTGCCTGGTTTTCTTCTCTGGCCTTTGCTCCCGTCCACAAGTACATGAAACCAAGGAGTGTCATTTGATCTGCCACTTTCCCTTTTAGCCATAAATGTTCCTTGCACTCCTGCTTGACCATTTGCCAGTCTGTGCTTTTTATGAATTAATGCCCAATACCACCCTCCTTTCTGCTGCCTTCTGTTCTATTACAATATACCCACGCGTAGTCCGGATTGTTCGGAGGTTGTTCCATGTCCCTGAGATGTGTTTCTACAAAACCGTATACCATCGGCCTTTCTTTTCTTAGCTGTCCTTCTATCTCTTCCCACTTCAGCCTGTTCCTGCCACCCTGCATGATAATATATCCTATGTCTGAATTGGCTCGGTGCTCGTGGCTACGTCTATTTATGCCCCGGACTCTACCTATCTTAGATACTGGTGCCACTTTGGAATCGTATCTGTCTATACCACCTGTCAAAGAGTCTCCCTGGTTGTTTTCCTCGTTACTAGCTATCCTGCACCCCGAAGGCACCCACTCGCACAGCAGCGCCCCATGCGGGTGGCACCGGCAGTCATCAGCTGTGGGGCCATCTCCTAGCCCGCACTCAGCACACTAGGCAGTATATTTCTAAACACTGTACTATAACTATCGTAGCAGCAGAAAGCCGCAGGCACCACAGCAGCCCCAATGGCCATTGATCAATTTTCCACCATATGCTTCGAGACTGTAAACGCTTTGTTTCAACTACGCCCCGCTAAATGGCACAACCTGTCCCGTGTAGATACGCGAAAATGGAATTTTTGAACCACTGCGCCATTCCCCATAGTAACATCCGGCAGTTTTTTTCTTTTTCATGAGTCAGTAAAAACGAACAAGCAGCATTATATTGCGTCTCTTGATGCATGGAAGGTTCTGTATTTAGTGCAGTTAGATTGATTACTAGTGAATAATTCTAGGCGGTCCATGTGATGTCATCGGGATCATTTTGAAAATATCCTACTGTGGCGCTCTCGTTCTTGTGCATTTGCCTTAGTTTTTCGGTAAGTAGGGCACTGTTGTTCATAATATTGTGCTTTTAGATGTCGTCATACATTAAGCTTTCACTCTGACTTAAATTGTTATTTGACTTTAGTGTCCCTTTAATAATTATATGTCGCCCCGCCGCGGTGGTCTAGTGGCTAAGGTACCCGGCTGCTGACCCGCAGGTCGCGGGTTCGATTCCCGGCTGCGGCGGCTGCATTTCCGATGGAGGCGGAAATGTTGTAGGCCCGTGTACTCAGATTTGGGTGCACGTTAAAGAACCCCAGGTGGTCAAAATTTCCGGAGCCCTCCACTACGGCGTCTCTCATAATCAACTGGTGGTTTTGGGACGTTAAACCCCACAGATCAATCAATAATTATATGTCAGCCTGTGACGCAGTAAGCTGTTTGAATCGACTGGAAATGCCGTCACGAAGAGATTTCTCGCATAGCTACCTAAAATTTATATTACTTTTTGCACCTTCTGCGAGGAAAGTGTAATAGTGGATCGCCTTTTTTAAAATTTTTATCGACGCGTGATGAAGGTGTTTGACTTTCTCTTATATGCAGTTTCTCATGCTCTCAAGTATACGAGAAGTGAGCCAGTAACTCAAAGAGGTAGAACTGGATGCCGTTTCTAGAAAGCGGACTTTGCAGTGACTATTTTCCAGAGTCGTGTTGTTTTAACCGCTCGGAACCAAAAACTCATCTTCAAAACGACGCATTTCCGGCCCTATTTTCTGACCGAATCAATTACAAAAGGCACACCTTAGCACTCCTGGCTACCATTGCACTTATTGCTCCTTTTTTGTGTGAAAAAAAAAATCAGTGAGAATTTGTTTCGGTCTGACAGACGACTAATTGTAAGGTTGTACGTTACGGCATTCCGCCGTATTCGGAAGGCGTCGGTACGGTGTCTGTCATTTTTCGTGTACCGTTAGTCAACGTTCCAAGTGATGCCTAATCGTAGGGTTTTCTGTACGCACTAGTCGTAGATTACAGCACTCCGCGTATTCAGACGGTGTCTCATTTTTTGCGTAGCGTTAGTCGGCGTTTCAAGTGATGCCTAATTGTAGAGCAGATTACAGCACTCCGTCGGATTCGAAAGGCGACGCTAAAGCGTCTGTCATTTTTCGTGTAGCGTTGGATGATAGTGAGAATGCTATGTTGTTTAAAATTACAAAAATACGATCATAACAACTTCAACCAGATAATATTTGTATCACGCGCCTAAAACGATGTTGGCTTTTGGAACAGCGAAGAAATTTAGTGGTGGCTTCACAAGCGCCCTCATGAGAAAGAGGGCATGCGTTGGTATGCGAATTTGATCTATAACAAATATTTATGTTTCAGTAATTTACAAAAAACTTGAAAAAAATATTTTTGAAGCGTCTATTAAAATATTCGTACACGCGCGATTTGCGGCGGAAATATATCACAGAACAACTAAAAACACGTTCCTCCATGCCTCAAAACGAAATCAAGGCTGTGTTGGCTGTGCTCCGATTCGTAGACCGCATCGTAGACAGTCTGCGCTGACAGCTTAGAAGTTTGTCTCGGCCGGTAAAGATGGTAATATACGATTGAATGAGAGTGGCACCTCCGCTGGCATTGATCAGAACAACTGCTAGGTTTGCTGATTCTGAGAACTCAGCCGCACGATGGAAGTTAGTGAAGATCCCTTGCCATTTTCGAGGCCAAACAACTCTCACGTTGTTACATGGCTGGATTTCCTGCTCGACGATTCTCTACTTGAAAAGCACCTCTCCAGGGAAAAACCAGGTACGCATGTAGGTTTCTGTCGTTTATTGTTGAAGAGCGTCTGCAGCTCCTATGTGCAGCCCACAAGTCATGTCCACTCCCGAATGACTTCCCGCCGGCCGGTTAACTGGTCCTACTACAAGTTTAAACGTCGGGCGGGAAGTAATCGTAATACCCAGACTCCTAAGCTTAATTAGTTTCCGGGAGTGTTTTTTTTTTCTTTCACGATTGTGTGAACACAGACTCCCAAGCTAAATTAGTTTCGGGGAATGCTCTTTTTCTACATTGTGTGACTTCCTACATTTAGCTTGTGAGTGATACGTACTGTACTGAAATTGCGTACTGCAGCGGGGGCTCTGTGTCAGTGGGGCATACCGGGAATTCGACCCCCTAAATTTTTGTCTACTGAAACACTGCTTTCATAAACTGATACACTAGAACACCAGCGGGCTAGCCGCGTCTACACACTCTATAAAGATCGCTGGTTGTGGTGCGGCGGGAGTTTCATGTGAGCTAAAAGGGAATCGCCTTTGCGTGAGCTGGCGTTTTTGGACTACTTGGGATAGTTTCGTTAGCTGGCGTCTTGCTAGGATATAGCTGCTGTTTATCAATGCACTTTAGTGGCTGCTGACTTAATTTTCGCACAGTGTTTCATCGCACTTCATAGCCTGGTCACATTCAGAAACATCCACACATACCTCAGGCGTTATAGAGGCTGCTCATTTAACAGAGGTGGGAGAACTAGCTTACATTTCTGCCACACAGGCATCTTCGAACTTGTATAAAAGAATAGCAGCATACAAATAACAGGAGTGCCATAAGAAAAATGGCAAGGTTCTTGCAGGCAGATTGTGCCAGTGAATGATGAACACATTGTATTAACAAGGAGCATATAGCAAGTAGCTTGAGGTACCAATTTTTCAGTGTAGGAAGTCGAGATGCCAAAAGGAGCGGAGGCTTAAACTAACATAGGGAGCCGGCAAAATCAATATGCAGCCAACTGTTACATCAGCTGGCTGTGTACTGCTTGCTACACTTTCTTTTGATGAGGAATGTGCTCGCAGGAATTGAAGCATCTCATATGGAATGAAGTTCAGCTAAAGTGATGGAAGCCCCACGAAGCCACGGCTAGCTATCATAACATTGGTTCGTGCGTGTGAATCGTGCAAACTTTGTGTTTTATAGCATGACGCACGTTGTCGAGCCAGCATTGGATCACATAAGTATTCCTAACAGGACAGTGTAGAACAAATGCAGGATGCATAGCTGTCTTTACAGCAACGGCACGGGACTCTCAGCGCATGAAAATTCTGGACAGTCCCACAAAATCTGGGATGGCTGGTAACCTTGCAAGTAGCCCAATTCAACATTGCATCATCACAGCTGTCATTGGTAGTAGTACAGTGCTACAAATGAAGCCTGGGCTCCTAGGCAACGCTGTAGAAATGAATGGTTGTTGCTTGTCTATCCAGCAAATGTTTTGGAAAAATTAGTGGACTGTGTTAAAATTGTTACACAGCGGTATTGTTATTCAAGATCCCATATATTTCTCACATTTTAGTTAGACTGCCTTATTTATTATTCGCTGAAGTAGAGTTATTGGAAATCATGATAGTGTTTTTTTTGTCATTTTTATGATGAATAATTCGTAGGTTACACTTTTTGCAGATCCTTCTCCATATGAGCTTGTGATCCAGTTTTTGGCAAATGCTATTGAACCACCATCTCAAGGGCCAAATGGAGGCACTGTGCAGCAGGGTAACGGCCTCCCAGGCATGGTCAACCTAGATGGCACGCCAAATGAACCAGGAAATTGTATGCATCACTTCTCTTACAATTTTGTTTATTCAGAGTGAACTCTGTGCTGAATTCTTAGTTTGCACGAATCTTAGTTGCACTGGTGCAATACATTCAGTCAGATGGATAGGCGACGAGATGAAATATTTAGTTTAGTTAGGAGTGCATTGTTCATTTAACTCACTTTGTTTAATGTCTTTTGATCAAGGGCAACAGTGATAGTTGACAAAGAGCGAGATGCGTAGAAACTAAGAGGTCCTACTTCTCGTAACTTCAATAGTCGTGAAACAATCTTGCAGCTTGTTTTATGAATGAAATTTTTGTTTGAATGTGGCTTGAGGCTATTGAAACAACATGTTTCTTCTAATTATTATCAACAAGACAAAGAAATTCACTTGCTGTGGCGGTCTAGGTGTTATGGTGCTCAACTGCCGACGGACAAGTCTAGGGATCAAAATACGGCCACAGCTGTTGCATTTCGATGAAGGCATAATGCTAGAAGTCTAGGTGCTTGGATATAGGTGTATGTTAAAAAACCCTAAGTGGTTGAATTATCTGGGGCCCTCCACTATGGCTTCACTCACAATCGTATCGTGGTATTGAGATGTAAAACCCAAACACTTATGAATACTAAAGAAATTTCGCATCGATGCAGGCTCAGAATCTTAGATGTGCTCATGCTTTTTAGCCGACGGCTCAAATGGCTTGGGCTCCCCACCCCACCTGTTCCCAATATTCCTCTACATGCTGTCCACCATGAGAAATATGCTACAATTGCTTGTGTAATGTTTGTTCTAGGTTTAATCGTTTATGTGCACATGTGCATTACGATTGGTCAAAACAAAAATGAGTGTTGTTTTATACATAAATTTCATTACACAAAAATGCAGCAATAATTGTACCAAGTTTTCTACAAATTACATTGAGAGGCGATTGTGAGTGTGCGTTTGTACGTTTGAACTGAAATTTTACTATCCTAGCGAAATAATGCCGCATCAAGTTTGCTGCATACCATCCTGTGCCATGATTATTGGGGTAGATTGGATACCCTTGGCAACAATCCAAATTCAAAATACTTTATAATGAATACAAAATTAACTCCCACTCTTCAAGAGTACTTTTCTTTTGTGCCCTCAATAACAGGTTCACCTGAAGGGGAGCCAGGAAACCGCAAGTCCCTGCCTCTGAAGTTGCTGGCCCTGAAAGCGATCGCTTTCCTAAATTGGAACATGGACCTTTGCGAGCAAAAGTAAATCAACCCATTGCACTTTTCATTCGTGTTCTGATCACTGAAGCCCAATGTAGACATTTTATTGTGCTGGGTCAGCCGGCTGCTTCTTTTATGAGGTCATTTGTTTTGAACAAGCAAAGTGACTTAGTTATACAGTAAAACCTCGTTAATTTGAAGTCACTGAGACCATGAAAAATCTTCGAATTAAGCGGGTTTCCGAATTAACAGAAAAGGCGAAAAGTGGGTTGCAAGAAAACCTAAAATTATTCAAATTAATCAGGGCTGGTCATTTATTGTGCCGGCTATATTGTGGCTTCAAGGGTTATGTTTTTCAGCAATGCCTGGTCACAATTTTGCCGCAAACAAGGGGGAATTCTAAGCCTAACTGCTGTCACCGCAAAAAAAAAAAAAATGTGATCAACTGAAATGTGCACCTGCGAAAAATAAAACATCATCTTCACTGCAACATAGCAGTGACACGCGGGCAGCACGTCACCTGCTCTTCGCTACATCAGCATGTCACGATGCGACCATTCGCCCATTCTTTGTGGTAAAATAAAGAATTTAATAATGGACAGCATGACGAAATTCATGATGTGTTTTGGCTGGAAAACATCATCATTGAAGCTTTCAACCTGAGTTTTCAAAGTTAGCGTTGCAGGCAAGAACTCCGCCAGCAGTGCAAGTGCGCAAATTGCTGGAGTAACCGGCACTCGAAGGTTCGCATATATTGCGAATTTCTCCAGACTATCTTTTATTATTTCTTTAAATTCCAAGAAAAAATGGATAAATCGTGACGCGCTGATATTGCCAGAAGCATGCAATATGTTCCCGCACGTCACTGCTGTAGTGCAAAGAAGCATATCTTGTTTTTCACTGGTGCATATTTCAGTTGATCACGAGACCGTTTTTTTTTTTAATATTTTTTTGTGCTGGAAGTCGCGAGACAGGGGTGCCTCAGCTGCCACTCATTAGTATTGCTAAACTATATTGCCTAGTGGCTCTTAGGCTTTCGTTTCCGCAGATTTGAGATGAAATAAGGATTGGGAATTGGCACGCTGCAGCCAAAGTTTTCAAGTTAGCCGGACTTTTGCTGACCGCCGCTTCAAACTATCCTCTCAAACTTGCATTGCAAGATAGGAGACCGCGGATATACTTCAAATTAAACGGGATTTCAATATAAGCGGGTTCGAAATAAAGAGGTTTTACTGTACACTTCTGTGCAAGCGTGAATGTGCTTGCAGAACAGTTCTGGATTACTCTGTTTGCTATGTATGTTGTTTTTCCTGAGTTGATTTTGAGTATCCGCCAGAATCTCGGAGTGCTTGGAGTCTTGGACTGCACTAAGTTGAACCGTCTAGTGCAACATGGGAATGCTCTGTGTCGCTCAACATTAGATGTTCTCTGTGCACTCTTCATGTTAATGGGTTCTACAAAAAATTTATGCTTCTACTTGCTAAGTATAAATTGCAGCCTTTGTAGCTTCTCAGTTGCTGGCACTATTCATCAGATTTAATGGCCTCTTCGACAGCATCTACTAAGACAAGTGCCATTTCATGTACCTGAATATTTCTAATGGAACTGGGGTCATATGCCAGTTTGGAAGAGCGCACTTACAGGAGCTTTGCATGGAATATGCCAGACATGGAAATGAATGAGAGCTTGATATTCACATAGGGCAGTGGTATATTTTTTAGCAGGATATTACGAAAGGTGGTACAACTGTTTGATGTAGGAAATACTTCAGTGTATCTAGGTTCCACTGTATATGGGCGCCAGCTTTACGTTTCCCTCTTGCAGGCTACCACTGACAATGCAACAGACACTGATAGCGGAGCTACAGAAAGCAACTTGTTGCCCTGATCTGAATGTGGAGCAGAGGCTGAGCAACCCTGATGCTGCCTTTGCCTGCATGATCAAGTCCCGCTGGGTTTTGCGCACAGTTGTGCGCTCCTCTGTGCCTGTAAAGAGTGCTAAAGGGATTGCTGTTCAGCTGTGAGTGTGCCTGTTCTACTAGCCTCTTTTCTAGTAGAAAGGTGCGAAGGATTTGTTGTTTCATAGAGTAACAAGTTTGATCATTTTGCATGGTTCTCCATTTTACTTAGTGTTGACCTTACCCTCAACACAGAATTTATTACCTGTTCATGCAATACAAGGTATGAGGTACTGAAGTTGGTTGCCGCATGAAAAACATGAGCTCTGCCCTCAGCAGTGTTAAAGGGAATTCGCATAGATGCTCCTACTGATACTTTCTCACATTTCCGTGGTGTCATCCACTCTTGCAGCTTTTGAAATACAGTAAAACCTCGGTGATGGAAATCTCAGGGGATCATCACCAAAGCTGTCCTCATCTGAAATTTGTACTGCCAGAAAATTTGAAAAATGATTGCACGACAAAAGATAGCTGCCGTATGTTTTCATTTATTGTTTCTCAGGGACGCAGCAATGTCACAAACAACTCTGAATGATTGCCGGTGATGTTTTTAGACGCCAATGGTCATACTGGCACTTGTAAGTACTATACGGCATGTGCGCACGTGTATGATTAATGAACCAGGTTTGCTCTTACCCGTGGCAACTAGCAGCCTCTACCTAACTTGTGTACACATTTCAGAGGACAACAGAGTACTGCTGCGAAAGTGGCTTAAGGAGCACTTTACACGCTATAGATGAAGGCTAGAAAATTCGGTAACCCTTGTCCTCTGTTGTTATTTTCTAATCACAGTGGTGTTGGAGATGTTTTTTGGTAGACTTAGCGGCAGTGCCCGAACAATCGTAGAGTTCACAGCTGTTCACGTCCTAAACAATCGTGCATGACGCTGTGAGGCCTACCTTCATTCCCAAAACAGTTTTCTTCCTCTTAGGTCCCCATCCACCTTTTCTAAAACGTCTTACGATAGCAAAGGCATGGCTTGCGGGGACCTGGCAAGCATGTGTAACTCAGTCGAACACAAATATATCGAACATCAAGGGGATCGTGAAGTAGTTCGATATATGAAAAATTTGTATAAAAAATAGAGGCCCCGAGAGCTTACCTGTCGCCGATCATCACCTACAATAGGCGCATTCAAGAAGGACAACTAATTCCGCACACACGCCGCAACAAAATTATTTAATTGCATGAAAATTATCGCTTATCATGGCCTGCTTCTTCATTTTTGAAATGAAGTTGAAGACGCTAGTCTCGATCTTATCAAGGCTGTCCAGGTGCTACAGTCCGGTTCCCTTCATGTAGCCATTACAATGGCAAATGGTGTCGAACACTGCCGCTTTTTCAGCGGCAGAGTGCGCGTGTGTAGCCAGCGCCTCGTCTGTACGATTCGCCTCAACACTTGAGCTGTTGGCCAGGGCATCCTAGGTCCCTGCGACCGCAGCTACTATAATGTCTTTGTAAGCGAGACTAGCAATGGCCTGGACATTTCAGTCCGCTTCATGATAGTCGTCCGCAGACACTTCGTGTGGAACTGCTGCCTGGAAGCGGGACGACAACTCGCAAAACGCGTTTTTTATGCGCTCATCGTCGTCTTCTTCTCCGGTTTCTGCAAGTTGCACCATCTCGAAGCCTGCCTTGCGGAAGTACTTGACCACTGTGTCCATCTTCACGTCTCACTAGGCATTGAAGATCTCCGCGAAAGAAAACTTCACGGAGACGTCTGGCTACTCCCTCGTCATCCACAGCTGGATGGCCTGGCTGCTGCCAGATTTACTTTCACCAGAATTCGTTTGGCCAACAATGTAGTAGCGCTGCTTAAATCGACGAAGCCACCCAGCGTTGTTGGTGAAGTTGTTTCACCGACTGCAGCGGCAAACCATTTGACCTTGGCGATCCGCATCGAGCCATCCACCGCAATATTTTTCACGCGCACTTCTGAAAACCTGGCATAGAGTGCCTTTCCTACATTCCCGGGGGCAGAAGTGCACACATGATAGGCTCCCAACGTTCGCTGCTCCGATATCTCCTCTGTTATTCAACAAGGTACTCAGAGTGCTCCGTGTTATTCCAAAGTCGTCCGCGACGGTTGAACATTTCTTGCCCGCCTCAACACACTGAATAGCCTTCAACTTCATCGCAAAGTCGAGCGTCTTGCGCTTTTTGATGCTGGCCACAGCTACACGAGAAGTCGATAATTCAAGGAGTTCACAGCGGCTTTGCACACCACTCACACAAAAGAGAAATACTGCGCATGCGATGGTATGTATGTGACGCGACATAGACGCAAAGACAATGGCCACCTGCGAGGGCAACAGCAAAAGGCGCGAGCTGTGGTTGGCTGATCAAAACTCGAAAAACAGCAACGAAAAATAAAAGGCGAAGAGGGTAGGACGGGGGCTCCTTCATTCCTAGTTCCGGCTCTCCCTGCTGACGGGTACGTGGAGAAAGCATGAGAGAGAGAGGAAGAGAAAGAAAAAAAAAGCCGTTCCGCAAGTTAGAGATTGTGCAGTCCGAACCCTCTCGCCCTTATTTTTTTTTTCGAGCGCTTCAGGCTTTGACAGAGGCGTGGTGCCGCGCAGAGGTCGCCGAGCATGCGAGTGCCAAAACATGCCTCCAACTCATGCCGCGGAGGTCACAGGGCATGGCGAGTGCCAAAGCACACCTTCCAGCTCGCGCGGCGTTCGATTTATCTGAAGGCGGGTAAAAATACCGTTCGATATATATATATGTGTGAATTTCTATACTTTTTCAAAGGAATTTAAAGGGGATAACTTACAAGTTCAATATATGCGATATTTCGATATATATGTGTGTTTGATCATGGTTGACTGTACAGTATGATGACAGCAGCGTGCGTTGACATATCTTAAAAAAGCGTGATGTCAATGCCATTTGCAATCTGAATGTGAGACCACACGAAGGCAGATAGGAATACATTGCAGCAAAACGGAAATTTGGGCAAGTTGGTTGGCATTCATTTTTTTTATTTGGTTAGCGTGCAACACTCACGGTTACGGTAGCGAGTCAGTACCGTGTTGTCCGTTTTCCTGCTATTGACCTCGTGAGCATTGCACAGTAACCGAGTAAAAAAATTGAAGGCGCATAGGGCCTACAAGATTCGGGTGCACGATGTTGAAGGCTACAATGAAACTTTATTCTGATCCCAGTGTAAGAAATTTATTTGTCTACACCATGATTCTGATGAAGTGGCACTGCAGCGTGCATGTTAGCACTTCGGTTCCTGTGCCAGCACGTGCTTGTCGCGTCTTTCGTGGCCGCACAGGCAGCGCTTGTTAATACCTGAGTAGTAGCGTTACATTCGTATCAAATGTCGTGGGATGAAAACCACTTTACAACTACTGTACTGCTGTTTGTCACGGCAGCACGGACAGTGCCTGTTGTCACTCTAGTGGTACCGTTACGTTTGTATGAAATTTTGCGGGATAAAAACCGGTTCGTGACGATCGTGCTCTATTACATCGCAGGTCAATAGGCCTTGGCTGGTGCCAAAGAAGAATTTCTATCACCACCAAATTTATACAAGTCGTGATCGTATCACTGAGGTTTTACTGTAATGGATTTTGCAGAAACAAATAGGGACATCAGCAGAGAGCTCCCATTTCGAAATATATGATGGTGCTTATGCTCCAAAACGCATTAATTTATATGGAAAAGTTAATGCAATCAAAATTAAAAGTCATCAGTAACTTGCATACCGTATTTACTCGATTCTACCACGCCCTCGATTGTAACGCGCACCCGATTTCCACGACGAAAAAAAAAACAACGTAAGACATCGATTGCAGCGCGCACCCGTTTTTCTCGCTGGCCCGCACGATCACACCACTCGAAAAAACGACTCCTTTCGGGAGCGTCTTCCATTCTTAAATATGAGGTACGGGCGAAGCTTGTGCCCATCTGACGTGCAACAGAGCATTGCTGTCACTGTAGTTTTACCATGGACCGATGTCAGCACGCGATCTTGCTTTGCCCCCTTCTTCTCGACGGTTGTGGTGCCAGGCATGTCGAAGTAAAGAGACGTCTGATCGGCATTCCCGATTTGCCCAAGCAGGTAGTCGTTGTTGTGCCGCAAGTTTCGGACGAACCCCTGAAAACTGTGAAGCTTTTCATCGTACTCCTCCGCAAAACTTCTCGCATGTGCCGGTTCCCCTTCAGAGAGAAAAGCCTTTCCTCTTCATAAAGTTAGTTAGCCAGCACCTGCTCGCTTCAAACTGGCTCCGCATTAGACCTTTTTCTAAGGCTAATTGCATAGCCTGCACTTGGAGCAGTTTTGTCGTCACGGGCCGCTGTGCTGCTCGCTGATCAAGCTTATACTCGCCGAGCAGCTCTTTAATTTGCGGAAACCGACCCTGCTGTGGTCCACTGAAGCCTTTGCGTGAAGCTTTGCTGTCGACAATCTTCTGCTTTTGTTTCCGCCAGTCCCACACGCACATTTCGGGAACTCCGAACGACCGCGATGCGGCCTGATTTCCGTCTGTTTCTGCACACGCCATGACTTTTCTTTTAAAAGCGGCGTTGTGGTGCACTAGAATTTTTGGAGTCGGCCCTTCCATGCTGTCGATGCTAATGCACTACAAGATGACGAACTCCTCAGCACATGTACGAGGTGCCGCTCATGGGAAACACATAGGCAGAAATGGCCGATGCGCCTTGCCGACACACGTAGGGAGCAGCCATTTTGGGAATGCCGATGGCAATAGAATGACCGTATTAATTTTTTTTTTTTTGTGCTCGATTCTAACGCGCATGCGATTTATAAACTCGCTTAACCAGAAAAAATTTGCGCGTTAGATTCGAGTAATTACGGTATATGGTGGAACATCGGTAATATGACTGCAGGTTATACGAATTTTTGTTAATACATTGTAATTATTCTGTTGTCCCAGTTAAGCCTAATTAGCCTGCAGTGTAATGGAGGGCAATTGCTGCAAACAGATTTTCGCCTCGTGCTATTTGATACGAATATGCACCACTTCACAGGCATGAGCGGACGCTGTCCGCACTGTCGTGGAAGATAAGATAATCACAAACAGGCATGGGAACCGAAGTGCAAGCATGCACATCATGTTGCCAGTTTGTCAGAATAGGCCATCAGCTGTAGCCTCCGAAATTGTGTGCGGGAATCTTAAAGGCTTTCATTTTGCCTTTGTTTAAATTACAAATGGCACATTGGCGTTGCTCTTTCTTTTTTTCTTGAATGCGTCCGCACGGGATGCTGTGCTCGAGGCAGCGTCGTTTTACCTTGTTTACACGTGCCTTCGATGTCAATGCAAGACATGTCCTCACTGTCAGACATTCTATGAAAGGTGGACAAGGACCAAAAAAAGGAAGTGGACAGCCTTAGCAAAAGAGCTAAGCCTCGCAACGTCAACAAGCGTGGTTGCTGGACACACGCACACGTGCCAACTCTCCAATTTTTACGGGAGACTCTCGAATTTCAAGCAAACCTCCTGATTAAGTGGGCACGGCCGTGAATCTCCTGAAGAACGTCCCCAACACGACTGAGATGAGAAAATAGTAGCAAACGTCCACCGTTCAAAATTCTTGTGGCCTTCACCAATCGCGTGCAAGTCACTTTTTAAATCATTTTCACGACAGTACTCTTGTGTCATGCCAAAAATTTTGATTTCGAATCAGCTACCAGCTATCACGGGTCATAACTGATCCGGTTAACTTCACACACGCCGTAAATTTACGTGTACATATGATCGTTCACATCTAATAAGATTACTGGCAATCACTCAGTTGTTTTGTGACCCCAAAAAACAATAAATGAATATGTACGCCAGCTCTCTTTGGAAAAGTATTAATTTTTTATGTTTTCTTGTGATACGAATTTCAGATAATACGAATGCTTTTCATGGGCACCGCGAGATTGACATCACCGAAGTTTTTCTGTACTGACGCTTCTCTCGCGACTCGATGACCATTGTTTGCAGCTTGCACAAGAGCTCTAGTGCAGCGTCCGTATCCTCATGTATGGAGAAATGCTGCTGTTATATGGTTTTGCAGCTCTAGCAAATTTAGTAAATTTGGTTTGGTCTGATTTTGCAACACATTGGGATCACTCTAAGACTGACTTCTGCGACAAGTGATCGAAGCCACGAGGCTCCTAGTTAGAATTAACCATTGTGGGTACCGACGCATTCGAATTGTCGTTTGCCATTTGTCAGGAGTTTTCTCTCATAGAAATACACAGGCCTGTGCTGGCACCAGGCAATCAGTTCAGATGAACTGCAAGTTCGAAATAACAAGTTTTCACTGCATATGTTGAACTACTGCTGTAGTGTTGTGAGGCTGACTACGAAATAGAAACATAATGATACAAACTGTTAGGTAGTACTATATTTTAAATACAGTCGACTCCCGTTAATACGAAGTTCACGGGAACCCCAAAAAACTTCGAATTAAGCAAAAAGCACTAAAAAAGACACTTTTATTATTTAAAAGCGCGACAGTTTTGAGGAAAAATAGTCTGTCATCTTCTTCTGCTTGCCGAATCTGGCTGCGGCTAGCAAGTTTTGTAAGGAATACACGTGTCGAAGTGCTTCTTCGGCGTTGTGTTCTCCAACAAAAAACCGCTGCACAAGAGCAAGACCCGCAGCTACATCGGCAGCCCTCGGTGGTGGCTCATTTCCGATGTCGTCGTCATCATCGTCATTTTCAGGAATGCAGTCATGGGGCCGAACCATCTGCACGATTTCGCTGTCCGTTAGTGGACCGCATGTTTCGGCGTTGCTGTCCACAGCGACATACTCGTCAAAACGAACGTCACCGAGAGCGGCGCGAAAGCTACCGTCGTCGAACTCATTTGTTTGCACTTCCACTGGCGCACAAGGAGAAGCATCCCCCGAGTTTTCCATGAAACCACAGGCCCGGAAACAATTGACGATGGTTTCTTCTTTCACGCGGGTCCAAGCTCGCGCTAGCATGTTGATGGCACTAAGCAAACTCACCTCGTATTGCGACTAGTTGTCCATGCACAAAAGCATGCGCTCGACGAGATGCTGCCTATACAATACCTTCACATTTTTTATTATGCCCTGGTACATGGGCTGCAACACGGACGTCGTGTTTGCAGGCAGGTATACAAGACGGATGGCACTCAAGGCAGGTACGTTCATGTGGGCACTACATTGGTCCACAAGGAACAACACTTTACGGCTTGATTGCGCGAACTTGCGGTCGAGTTTGGTGATCCAGTCCTTAAATATATCGGATGTCATCCATGCCTTTCTGTTCGAGGCATAAACCACGGGAAGCGTCTTCACGCCTTTAAAGCACCTAGGCTTGGCAGCCTTCCTGATCACAAGCAGGCGACACCGTTCTGTGCCAGTCATGTTCGCCGCGACTAGCACTGACACTCTCTGTTTGCTTCTTTTGCCTTCAGAACAGTTGTCGTCTTTAAATGTCAGGGTCTTGTCTGGTAGCAGCCGATAAAAAAGCGCAGTCTCGTCTGCATTAAGAATGTCTGCCGGCTGGTATTCTTCGAGGTACTCGCGAAGCTTGCCCGCTTTCCATGTCAGGCACGTTTCCTCATCGACTGACGCCTTCTCCCCACACACGCTGTTAAAGTGAAGTCGTGGCGATGTTTGAAACGTGTAAGCCACCCATCGGAAGCAGCGAAGTCGTTGATGCCCAACATTTCAGCAAGCGATGACGCTTTTGCCGTGACGACTTCACCACTGAGAGGAAGTTTGTTGTTTCGTGCCTCTCTGATCCAAATCAGCAGTGCTTCCTCCAACTCGGGGTAGGCGCCGGTGCGCATCCGCTTCCGCGATGTCTTGAATTTTTCACTTTCAAACGCATCCAATATTGAGCGCTTATTCTTTATGAAAGTCGACAGCGTGTTAGGCTTAATGCCGTACTTTCTTGCAATGTCTTGTTTGGCGGTGCCTCCCTGGTCAACTTCCTTCAAGACTTCGACTTTCGTCGCTAGGTCTAGCGTTCGGTAAGGGCCACGAGTTGCCATTATCAAACGTACGTCACCACCACAACACTCAAAATCAGAAGCGCGGAAACACGTGTGGAATCAACCCAGCGCGCGGGTGACGCGGTGACACACTCGAGTCTCGACAAAAGTCAACTAAGGAGTCAGTCGATGCCGCCGATGGGATTCGCCAGCGTTAAAAAGACTGCCGCTTCAAGATCTGTGGCGCTGCGGACAGTAGTGATGGCGAAGACACCAACGCGGTCCGGCAGATGTTTTGGCATATGAAAAGTTCCCCATTTTACTGTAAAATTACGGTCGCGACGAGACTGTCGATTGAAAAAACTTCTAATTAACCAATATTATGGGTATTTAACTTCGAATTATCGAGCATTTTTTTCTATACGATTGCATGCAAAACTGATGGGACCACTTGCTCACTTCTAATTAACCGAAACTTCCAATTAAGCGACTTCAAATTACCGGGAGTCGACTGTAATGCCCACAATCCAGGTAAAGGGAAGCCCATATGCTTTACAGCATTTCACTGGCTTTTGAATCAAAGTGGTTGTAACGCAACAGTAGTGTCATCTAATTTTGGTATAGTGATCTCTGTTCATGCATTAACTTACTGTGTATTACATATTACTAAGTTCTGCCGATTCTTGGAAATTACAACTTCCTGCAGTAGATTTTTTTCGTTTTATTCAGGCCTGGTCAAGTGGATCCAACCGTGGTGACTTCTGAAATGGCTGATACAATCACTAAAAAGGTGGGTGCTGCTTGATTGTTTTAAAGCATGGAAGTCTGGAGAAGTTTTTAAAGCATAATCAAAAACTTTACCTACGCTTTCAAAGAACAAAGACAGAGAAAAAGAACAGACAATATGAGCGCTGACTTGAAAGTGAATTTGTTACAAATAAAAAGAAGCAGAAAAGAAAAACCACTGTTCGATAGCGCACAAGTGCACGCGTTTGCACCAGCTCCTCAAAAACAGTCACTGTGGTACGTCACCACATTTTTGCAATAGATTATATTCACTGTTCAATAGAATCAACATTGGTTGGCAAACAAATGCTTTGCATTTTCTTTTAGAAATGCTTCTGTGTTGATTTAATATCGTTCCTGACAATAACAGATGTGTCTGAAGGCACGGGTTCACACTGGCATCAGTGTCTTCAAAATGCAAAAGCAGAGCAATGATGCACAAGCAGTTGAAACAATTATCACTTACTAGCTTTCATACAGCACTAAATTGTGTTTTCATGCAACAGTCAAGCTAGAAGTGACAGTGAACTCCAGATACACAAAATTACCTTAAAGCATAAACGGAAAGTTCGTATTAGCTTGGGTTGGCGGTACTCACAAAGCTTTTATTCACCTACCTCGTGGAGCGTGTGATGGTGAAAGTTTGCCAAATATATTGAATGGTAATGCTATGCTACAAAATAATTAAGAAAGTAATACAGTTCATCATTAAGCAGTGGGAAATATAGTCGGAGAGGAAAATGTTGAAGTGATAGTGTTTACATTATGAAGACATCATTTGGCAGTAACAAAGTTTCCAGAGTTCAATATAGCAGTGAGGCTTCCACTGCTGTTATGTTGTCACCACCTGGAAAAGGTCGACTGCAGAGCTTGCCCTCGTTACCTGTTTTCAGAAAATTGCCGAAATGTCACAGTCCTTCAATATTCTTTCTGGTCTTGAAACTTCACTGTCACTCTATGGGGCAGCTTGATATGGCATGGACAGCTCTCGTGCCTCGACGCCACTGTCGTTCAGAGGCCACGCTTCATCCTGCCCCTCCGATTTGATTCTGTAGAGACTGCACATGTGGCCAGCGCTAGCTGAAATTATGCATGTGTATATGTGGCTGCTTTTTGGATAAGGGTCAAGTTCAGGCATTGTACAGTTGAAGTTGCTTGTTCACGTAACGATGCCATTCACGTGCTGTGTATCGTGAGGACACTACTGAAAAAGTGTTCTTTTGGGCATGCCAAGTGTTCGTGGGAAATTCGAGAAATCGAAGTGAACCATAACGTGGCAAGAAATTGACTACTTTAGCATTGATTCGAAGAAAGTGCGTGTGTGTGCAAAGCATTTTTATTTGTGGGAGTCATTCATGCACCCGGTTCCACAATAAGCGGTTACATCGTACTGCTGCCGAGAGACAAGTCCACTTAAGGCTTAATGCTTTTTCTCATGTGTTCAACAAGCTTTCAGCATACTTTACAAATTAGAAGTGACAAATGACAATTTTAAAAATCACTGAAACAACTTTGAAAGTCGTCATGTGCAAGGGGAGTTTCCAGCCACGATAAATGAGTCGCTATCTACTCGTATAGCAACATAAAAATAACAAAGTGCAAGATTCCCGTGTGAACATTCTGTTAACTCTATAGTGCCTTAATTATGAAACCATAGCTCGCTGGACGATGCAAAGTTGTTCAAATTATTCCAAGCCAAGCATCACAACGGCACCTTTCTCATTATTATACTAATTTGGCAGTAGGACTCACCTGCTTGGAGCTCAAGAATGTCTTTAAAAAATTTGGTCCCAGTGCCTAACAATGCTACTGCAATGAATGAAGAACATGTAAGGCAAAGCGCAACAAAATTTTTCAATCCACACTTGGCTCACAAAGAAATTTGTGATAAAAGATTGGCGGGCACCCTTCAGTGACGATGCAATCACTGTGCTCTGTATTTCAGTCAGCAGCAACACTTAAACTCAGTGCTGCCAAACGGCCCAAAGATGAAATCACTAGCTGGACCAACTAAAAATCCGTGTATTTTCGAAAGTCAGTAAATCCGTTAAACATCACTTTGACTACATAAATTTGATTAGCTAATTGAACTAGTAGACTTAATATAAATAATAATATTTATTTTAGTTTGTAAGCATATATCGACCCTTTCACTGTTTACAAACACAGACCCTTGATGACTTCCGGTTTTGTCCACCCATGTGCCTGAATGGCATAGGTGGGCAAGAAGAGCACTAGTAAATAGCCGCTAATTTTCGACACTTTCCTTCTATCGTTTGGCAAAATATACTCATGTGAATGTTCTTTTGGACTAAATAAAAACTACAAGGGATTGTCTTGAACATTAAGTACATTCTTTTTATCTGAAAAACTAATAAGAAACTTTCCTTACCCTTGAAAAAAATGTGAAGACGTCCTTTCAGTTTCAATGTTACGAGCTGGTAAATGAGGTGACCGGAAGTTTTTTTTGGGCACAACGCTCGCAATTTTGAAATTGTCTATAGAAAAGTATATAATAAATGTACTCAGCATCAAAGCATGGTGATATATGACCTTGACGTAGGGAGTACAACGGTAGAGACTAAGAATGCATGCCTCCGAGATTGCCTAAAGCTCCATATCTTGGAGGTTTACAGAGTCAGAGTCGCAGACACACCTTGGGGTGTCTGTGAGTGGGGCAGTCTCTAATGATGGGTAAATCAGCGGTTCAAGATGCTAGGAGGGGGGTAGAGGTTGTTTGCCCATATGTCACTAAATTATTACTAAAAATATTTCCTTTTTCGCTCTTTACGCTTCCATGGCTACTGTGTCACCACTGCGAAGCGTGCATTTTGACCACACAGTCGTGGAATGCAGGAGTACCTTTGTCCCATTTTAGGAATGTAAACAAGTGCACAAGGTGACTAGACACCGGCTCAAAAAACGTTGAACCTAACTGCCCGACTGTGCCAGAAATGTCGGCAACGCATTCTCAGAGCAAAATCTGTCTCTGCAAGACAGAGCACACGAATGCTTTATCACTGAGTGGGTTGCTCCGAATGTACTAGCGGAGTGCGGAATCCAGGCCGTGGAGCAAGAAAACTTGCTCCTGCTCGACGAGTGGAGTTGCCATATGGCAGCCAGACCAACATGCCCTCAGACTAGATTGGCTAAATGCGTGGCTTGGCTAAAAGCCGCCATCACTGCCAGCTGCAATTTATAAATACTGGGGCTTTCGTGTGCAGAGAGCAGCATATTCAAGACTGTTGTTAGCCCATTTCAACACAGCAAAAGTAGGCTTTATACGCACAATTTCGACAAAAAGTGCCACTGATTTCATCCACCGTAGCTGATAGTTCGCCGTATCGTGGTCCGTTAAAAGTGAACTTCAATCCATCAATATACAGTGTAGACCACTCATAACGTAACCGCTTATAGTGCAGAACTGGTTATAATGATGTCTTTTTTGACTCCCGTTCATCCTCCCATAGAACCTCCGTATATATGCAGTAGCTTATTGTGCAGTCCCCCAAAATGAAAGGCTGGTTATAACGCAGTTGCGGGAAAATCTTTGTGACAAACGTGGTAACGAGTGCGTGTATCAAAGGAGGCGCGCTGGGTGCGCTGCTGGGAAGCGAGTCACGAGGTCACGGAGGAGGAGGGGACGCGTAGTGAATGAACGGAGGGCTGAGGGAGGGAAACGAAGCTAGGAAAGCCGAGTAAGGGAGGAGCACAATTGCCTCGGACACGAATAAAACTTTACACTGGTGCTGGCGCAGCTACAGTGCACTAGCGTTGCTAGCGTGGCTCCAGCAGCGCACAGCTCAACATGGCTCGTGCAATCCAGTCCCTATTAACTGCACCTAAGTTTCCTGTTGGAAAAGGTGTCATCGTTACCTTGCTTGCTACACATATCGCATTTGCTACATCATTTATACATATAAAGCCTTTAACGGTCTCACGGCACGAGCTTTCGCCTTGGCTGCCAGTGCGCTGTCTTACTTAAGTTTGGCGAGATTTCATCGTTCTTGATCTCCCGGCCGCGAACGCGAAATAAGTATCACGCATGCTGTTCTTCGCTCAGTGCTTGAGGGCTGTCTTTTTGACGTTATTTTCACATGTCTTGGACCTTGGACAAACTTCCCAAGACAACATACCGAAGGGTGCGCTAGGCCTAATCAGCAATGGCTGCATCCCCGCAGGGGCGTCTGCGCAAGTAGGCGTTTGGTGTGTAGCGACACCACGGACCCGAGCTAACGGGGGAGTTTCTACTCCCTCCCATGCCTAGCTGTGCGTGGCTTTGCCGTGTCCGGGGAAAAGGGGATCCTGGGGGTTGAGCCGACGCTGGGTGATTGGACCTTTAAGGCCCCCCGGCAGATGCAACACACACTCCTTTGGCCCCGGCTTCACGTAGACGGCACACCTGGGCTGATTCACCCAGGGGAAATCGGCAGTCGCCTTTTCCTATCTCTCTCTGCCTACATCTTCGTCTTTATCTCTCACTATCTATCTGTCCTGTCTTCTACTCTCTTCTGTTTACTTCCATTTTTCCTGGCGGCAAGGGTTAACCCTGTGCAAACAGCCTACCTTGGTCTAGGCGCATTGGGTTATGGCGTTGTTGTACAGCTGACGTCTGCAAGCTTTCAGCACCTGCAGACTTGCAGCGTCCCCTTGTTGGGCTCCGTGGTGGTTGGCCGCCAACGCTGCTGAACAAAAATAAGACCGGCATGCATGGAGCATTCCCTCTTCTGTCTGATCGTACCGGCCTAAAGCTGGTACGCACCGACGACATAAATTTCTTCAACCAGCCAACAGAAACTTTTCCCCATTTCCACGTCATTCACTGTGAAAAAACGGAAAAGCAAGCCAGGACCGTCTCTCCTTTCCTAGTTTCTAAATGTCTTACCGAAACTCTTGGCACAGGATACAAGGTAACCAAAATGGCTAGTGGAGACCTTCTCCTCGAAATCCGTGACAAAGAACAATTTAAAAAGCTAGACCGTCTTTCAGATTTCGGTGGCATAC